TACTGGAGAATAACATTTGTGGAAGGGAAAGGGAGGAATTGGGTAGGGGGAGCTATCAAGATTGCCATGCAGGTCGGACAAAGCCTCTGTCATCCTAACATGGCGAAGGTCCTTATACTATGCCTTATTCAGTCTTTAGCTAAGGATGGGTATGGGAAAGACGGGTAGCCTTGACAATGGTATAACTTCAGCTTGGAAGCTGAGGTGAACTCAGAAAGAATGAACAACTGGAGGCTATCAGCTAACTGCATGCCTTGCCGCTGGGCAGTGAGTCCTTTCTTGAAGGTAGCTCTGAGTGCACCTCTGTAACCGCCACACATTGTAGGATGCCAATTCAAGCCGAATTAATTTATAAACTCAATGAAGAATTTTTTTTGCCAAGCTCAACAATCTTGTTCTAAGAAGTATTTGGTATATGTGCTGCCGAAGCGAGCACTCTAAGAAGTATTTGGAAGACAAAAGGTTCACATTTAGCTGAGTCAAATCTGAAAGAGACGAGCAAAGGGGAGCATTTGCCCTATTATGTATTAAGATAGTCTGTAACATGATGGTAAATAACAACAACACATTTACTGGTGTAGTCACAAAGAGACCAGCTGAAGAGGTCAGAACCAGAGCCACATACAACTGGAAATATGAATATACATAAAGCTGGTATCAAAAATCAATGGGGAAGGGAAAGACTGCTGAGCAAAATTATAGAGAAAAACTGGCTTGCTGTTTGGAGAAAAAATAGACTAGATCCTCACCTTACACCAAATAAAGGAATGTGTTCCAGAGAGAATAAAGACCTAAACATGATTCTCTGGAGAGAGTAATGACTATAAAAGAAATAGAAGAAAAATATAGAATATGTTCGTGATGTTGAAATACAGGCTAAGTTTTTAATCAAGACCCCCAAAGCACCACTGAGAGTAATAAGATCATCTTCATTAACTAGGAGAGAGAACAGGAAGAATATAAGGAGGAGCTGAATACACCCTAGAGAATATTCCTAGGATGAGGGCAGCAAAGTAAGAAAAGGAGATCTATCAGGAGAGATATCATTATGACTTGCCTAGCGAAAATATTCCCCATGCCTCTACTTTCTTCTTATTTAAAATGAAGCACATATCCTTCAATAAACAAAGACATTTTTGAGTTCCAGACACAGTGCTAAGTGCAGGAAGTACAAAAAAGAATATACTTGAGTTCTAATCCTTAAAAAGCTCATAATCTAGTTTGGGAAACAGATGAAAAAACTAAATGTTTTAATGTCTATTCTATAGGTAGGAACCAAGAAGCAACTACCTTTGCCTAGGGCATCTGGTATCTGAGCAACAAAAAGTGATTGCAGGCAAAAGTAAAAGCACTAACAAAGCCACAGGGCTTTGAAAGAGTATGGTGTGTTGGAAAATGTTAAGTAGGTAACCTAATACTGGACATTCTGGAATGTTTGTTATTGAATAGAGAAAGTAGTCTATGGGGATTGTTTTAGTCTTTTCTTAGTTGCCCTGCTTATCACAGTACCTAATCATCACCTTTGAAGACAAAGCCAAAGATGAAGCACTGAACTGATGAGGGATGAATGTTAAAGGTTAAGAAGAGAAGCACGTTAGGAAGTTGTGGAGTGATAATAAACACTGTAACCACGGATTTAGAAGAGGAAGAGACTGCTATCAGCTATACTGTTCAGGGCAGATTTCATGGAAGTGTCAGGGCTTCATCTGATCACTCAAAAAATTGAGAGTTGAAAATTGACTGTATATATCAGGAGCCATGCATGGAGCTGGAGATTCAAAGCCATGAACAGTCTACTAATGAACAGATAATCAGATAATCACAAAAATAAAGCAATTAGCATTATTAGACCCAAGCACAGGCTGATGTGATAGAACCTCAGAGGGACTCTTGCTTTAGAGCAGGGAGGGCAAGGATGTGTTCCCAAAGGTGATGTATGCACTGAATTTTGATGGATGAGTAGGATTACATCAAGTGCAAGGAGGGAAACAATTTGCAATGGATCAGTTGAGTGAGAGAACACACCTCTTTCAAGGAACATAAAATAGTTCATCACGGCTGGAGCAAAGGTTCAGAGGCAGCGAAAAAAGTTTCTAAGGCAAATATAAATGGTTTGAATATACAAGGCCTTTCATAGGTGGTATAGAATTTAGATTTTTATCCAGAAGACAATGTGGAAGTTGCTGAAGATTTTAAGCAGGGAAGTTACGTGATTAGAGTCACGTTTACAATAATTGCTATTACAGGCAATGATGATAAAGGCAACTGAAGATGAACTGATATGGGGGTAGCTAAGAGGCAGAGAAATTAAAAGGCTGTTGCCATTGTTTTGGAAAAATATGAGCAGGCTTCCAAAATACAGTAGCAGTGGTACTGAGAGAGAAAGATGAGCAAAGTTTTGAGTAGCCAGAGAAAGAAATGGAAGCCTTCCCTGTGGAAATGATGTGCATAAATGTTTGGAGGAGGGGAGGGTGAGCAGATCGGTTTACCTGAAGCATGCAGTATTTGATGGAAGAACGATGATTAGCTACAATGGAGGATCAGAGTTACCCAACAGCTGGTGATGATATTGAAAACACTGGTGGAGTTCGCCTGTGGGAGGCTATTCAACAGAAAGGCTAAACAATTAGGATTTTACATTTTTCCCTAGCAATGTTAAATATATAAATTATTTTTAATTGTGGTAAAATTTTACCATTTTAATCATTTTTAAGTGTACAGTTCACAACACTCACAATGATGCACAACCATCAAAGCCACCTATCTCTAGAACTTTTTCATCATTCCAAACTGAAATTTTTTACTCATTAAAAAAATAACTCCCTATTCTCCCCCACCCCTCTGGCCTCCGGCAACTAACATTCTATTTTTCTGTCTCTAGCGGTTTGTCTACTCTAGATACCTCACTTAAGTGGAAATAACAGACTTTTTGCCTTTTTGTGTCCAGCTTATTTCACTTAGCTAAATCACTTTAATCAACACCCTGGTTATTCAGTAGCTGACTTCTAATTTAAGTGCTACTTTATATGCTATATCTTAAAACAAATGTCTAGCTTTTCTTACTTGATCAAATCTTTCCCACTTATTAAGGACACTTTACTCTAGCAAATTATAAACTCAGACAATTTAGTCTACCACTGTGTCTGCCATAAAGAGCTTTTTATTGGTCTATTTACTGTCTTTACACTATGAATTTTTTCATTTCATTATGGTTTATGGGCACTGGACCTTTTGCAAAATTCCACCTAGTACAATGGTAGTAAATAATAGCAAATAGAACAAGGGAGGCAGGAATCAAATTTATCTGACCACCCTGGAGAAAGGAAGTTATTTATTTAGGATGCTGATATGAAGCCTCTCTCTTTTGATACTATGTAATTTCCCTATCTGGGGCTGAATTGGCCGTAAATGGAGAAAATTTCTGGCTGGGGAAAAGTCATAAAGTTTCAGATGATTGGAGGCTACCTGAGAACTGTCAAGGGCTAGGGACATCCCTAGGTCACCAGTGCTCTGCCAATTAATGAATCGAATAATTTTGTACAAGACGCTAATCCTCTGGAGGTCTCAGTGCGTTAGATTCGACCAGCCCGTTCTTCCCTGTTTTGTCCACATCACAGCACAAACGGAACACAGTACTGCAGGACCGTGAGATTAACGGCAGAGGCAGTACAGCGCAGCACACCTGTAACCCCTGGCCGCCTCGCGTCCCGGCAAATCCGAGTGGACGCTCTCCCAGGAGAGCTCCAGTCCGCAGGTTCGTTCCAGCTGATGCGTCACGCCGTCTGTTACAGACGACGAGCTTGGGTTCCCGTTGTTCCTGAAGTCAGCAGCCTTTCGCTCCTTCTGAAAAAAAGAGAGCCTTCATTCCTTAAGAGGACCAAAGCGTGGAAAAGCACAAGGGCCACAAACCACGCAAATACGCAAAAGTCCCACTACCGCGCTTCCCAGCGCGCGCTCTCCGCCCGTCTTACGTCTCTTCCCAGCAGGCTCCGGGAGTCACCGCGAGACTTCATCAATTCTCGCGAGATTTATCGGCAGCCATCTTCTTGGGGGTGCTGGGAGCCGGGAAGACCCCCCGAATCGTTCCCATTCAGCTGTCCTTCGTCTTCGCTTTCTTCACTTTTGCCTCTTCTGCGTTGCCAACAAGCACCTGGTCCGAAGGCTGAGAGAAAGCCCGGGTCTAGGCGCGTGTCGCGCGCTCGGTCCGGGAAGATTCGCTGTGGTGGAGGGAAGGGGGAGGGCCCAGGCAAACCGTTGCTGCCTCAACCCGGGTCGGGGTCTGGGGAGGGGGAGCGCCTGACACCCTGTGAACTCGCGGCCTGCGGCGGTCCCCGCGGAGCTGTT